GCAGCAGCTGTTGCACACCTGCTGCTCCAGCTGCAGCTGCTGCTGCTGCTGCTGTGCAGCTGCTACCCAGTAACACCAAGCAGCACCTGTCGCTGTCCCACAGCAGCAGCAGCAGCAGCAGCAGCAACCGAGTGTGATTCTTGTTTGATTTTGCTGCTTTGAACTACCTTTGTTTAATAGAATGCATGCAGCAGCAAAATGCATGCAGCAGCAAAATGTGTGATGCTGCTGCTGCAGCAAAACCCAGCAAAGGGAGAGGGGCCCCCCAATACCCTGGGGGCCCCTCATGAAAAGCTGAGGAGACACCGTAGGCTGTTTAAACCCTTAAAGCAGAACTTTATACTTTAAATATAAAGTCAGCAATAAAGACTAAATGTGCATGCAGAAGCTGCTGCAGCAGTTACTGCTGCAGTTGCTGCTGCAGCTGCAGGCAACTGTTGCTGCAGCAAACCCCCAACAGCCTAAACCCTAAACCCCCGACAACCTAAACCCTAAACCCCTAACGACGTAAACCCTAAACCCCAAACAAGGGGACAGGCTGTCTCCTGTTTAAATTGAAAGAGACAGAGACAAAGAAAGGCAAAGACAAAGAGAGACAAAGAGAGGAACACAAATAGAGACAGAGAGACAGAGACAGACAGAGACAGAGAAACAGAAACAGAGGCAATTAAACCCTAGCGATCAGAGTAACCCTAAACCCTAATAAGCCTAAACCCTAATAAACCTAAACCCTAATAACCCTAAACCCTAATAACCCTAAACCCTAATAACCCTAAAACCTAATAACCCTAAACCCTAATAACCCTAAACCCTCTTAATCTAAGTACACCGAACGAGTCAAAGCCCTGAATGCCTTTATAACTCTGTGATGACGCTTCCTTTCTTGTCTTTGTTTTTTCATTGATTGTCTGTTTGTTTGTTTGTTTGTTTATTTGTATATTTGTTTATTTATTTGTTTATTTGTTTATTTGTTTATTTGTTTTTATTGCGTATTTATTTATTTGTGTGCTGGCCTAATTGTCTGTATGTTTGTTTATTTGTTTATTTGTTTATTTATGTGTTTATTTGTTTATTTGTTTATTTGTTAATCTGTTTGCATATCTGTTTGCTTGTCTATTTGTTTATCTCTATATTTATTTATTTGTTTATTTGTTAATTTGTTTGCCTATCTGTTTGTTTGTCTATTTGTTTATTTCTATATTTATTTATTTATTTATTTTTCTGTGTATTTGTTTGGTCATTGCTAACGCCAAAGGCGAGAAGAGACAAACAAAAAAACAAATAAACAAACAAAAACAAATAAACAAATAGACAAATAAACAAACAAACAGACAAAAACAAACAAATAAAAAACAAACAAACAAACAAGAGACAACAAACAAGCAAATAAAAAAGCAAGCAAGCAAACAAAATAAAAAAAAAGAGTTAAATATTATAACTGTCTCGAAGATATTGTTTAGCTAACTCAGAAAGTTCTTGAGAGACTTCTCTGGTGTATTCACGACCCCCGAAAATAAGCAGACGTGCTGCCCCACAAAGCAATGTACAATAGCTGCGCTGTATGACTCCGATAGCAGCAGCAGCACTTTGCTGCAGTGCAGCAGCAAAATCTCCTTTATATAAATGAAGCATTGTTCCATATAAATGCAGTGTATATACATTACCGTTTTTTATTAAAGCATTCCAGTAGCGAATGCCTGCTGAAGCTGCATGTACACCCCAAAGTATATCATTACTTACACCTGGTCTATCTAATGAGCTTTCTGAATAACTAAACGGGTAAAAACCTGCAGGGCCGTACAGTGTAAGCGATGAGCTGTCTTTACATTCATTTGCTGCTGTATTTAAATGTGTAGCAGAGAAAGACATCAAAGGGCCTCCCCGCTGCTCTAGCAAAGAAGGTCGCTGAAGCATAGAAACAACATTCTCAGCAGCAGCAGCAAATGATGCAGCAGCTACACTCCCTACACGTCCTAACAAACCAACAGAAGGCTCCCATTCATCTTCAAACTCCTCCTCCTGCTGCTGCTGCTGCTGCCGCTGCTGCTGCACTGCAGCAGACTGTTCCAAATGAGCTGCTAAAGCAGCAGCAGAAGGTGGAGGGGCCTCCCCTAGAATACGATTCAAGCATGACCACGGATTCCCATCAACCCCTTCCTGCTGCTGCAGTTGCTGCTGCTGCAGTTGCTGCTGCTGCTGCTGCTGCAGC